CCCCCCCCCCGCAGTGCCAAGGGCTCGGTTACTGGCGCCGCACGCTCCTCGGAGGGCTCCTGCTCTCTCCGGGGTTTCTGACACTCCCTGGCAACGAAGGGCCGTCGGATGAACTTAACAGACGGGGAGGCCTTCCTTCTTGACCGCACGGAGTTGTGGAAACACCTGTCCCGAGCTTCCCGGCACAAGGACCCCCAAAGCAACTGCCTCTCGCCTTAGAATTACTCGGAGACCCAACTGCAAACCTTCAGCTTCACAGGCAAGCATGGCTTGGGACCAGCAGACCTTAAGGGCCGCCACTTCCCATGTGAACCTCCAGGGCCACACTGATCATGTGTTGGGTTTTTTGGGAGGGGGCGTAATCCAAGACTGGAGAGGCAGTGACCCCAACAGTTATTGCCTGGGTTTTCCCTCTCCCTCACAATGGTCTTCCCCGTTGTCATGTATGGCTGCAAGAGTTGGACTATAAGGAAGGCTGAGCGCCGAAGAATAGATTCTTTTGAACGATGGTGCTGGAGAAGACTCTTGAGAGCCCCTTGGACTGCAAGAAGATCAAATCAGTCCATCCTACAAGAAATCAACCCTGACTGTTCCCTGGAAGGCCAGAGACTGAAGCTGAAGCTCAAAGACTTTGGCCACCCAATGAGAAGGGAGCCCTCACTGGAGAAGACCCTGATGCTGGGAAAGATTGAAGGTCAAAGAAGACGGGGACAGCAAAGGAAGAGATGGTTGGACAGTGTCACAGACGCAACGGACATGAAACTGAGCCAACTTCAGAGGAGGGCGGAAGACAGGAAGGCCTGGCGTGATCTGGTCCATGGGGTCGCGAAGAGTCGGACTCCACTGTGCGACTGAACAACAACAACACATATTATGCTTACTCTGTATGTATGTTGGTCTTCTGTAATAATAAAGGCACTTTTCACTTGTGGCCAGTGTTCCCTCTAAGCTGAGCTAGTGTGAGCTAGCTCACAGTTTGTTAGCCTCCGGCTCACAGATTTTTGTCTTAGCTCAGGAAGAATGGCTCCAAAGCAAACTAATTTATGCAGCAGCCAAATTGCTTGCTCACAACTTTCATGCCAGTAGCTCACAAGGTAAAATTTTTGCTCACAAGACTCCACAGCTTACAGGGAACCTTGCTTGTGGCATCAAAACACAACTCCAAGGCCACCACCCCAGGGCTCAAGGAGGCAAGGGAACTTTTCAGGGTTCCCCGGCATGCAGGTGCCGCAGCTGCCGCCGAGAACAGCGGCGCCAGCCATAACTGTTTAAAGAGCCCCTCTCGAGAGCTGGGGGAGCCAGAATGACCTCTCGCATGTGACTCCCCCCCTCTGCGCAACCCTCCCCCCTCACATGCGAGAGGTGGAATTTGCCCCTGCGAGTCCAAGGCCGCCACCCCGGGGCTCAGGGAGGCAGGAGAACGTTTTGTCCCACCCCCCCAAACCCTGCCCCCCCCCTGCACGGGTGTCGCAGCTGCTGGTGAGAACAGCGGCAGCAGCCATAACTTTTTAAAGAGCTCCTATTTTGGGCAAGTCAGACATGCAACCTGACCTTTCTCACAGGGTTGTTGTGCGGACAAAATTAAAGAGGAGAGAACAGCATAGTAAGCCATTTTGAGTTCCTGCTGGGGAGAAAAGCAGGTTATGTGTGTATCAATAAATCAATAAATTTCTCATCTCCCATACCCTGCAGTGGTGGTCCCCTATCCAAGGACCAATCCTGATTAACTTGTGAGATCTGACCAGATCAGGCTAAACCACATGGCTCTTAGGTACACAGCCATAAGCAATGCTCAAAATACTAGAAAGCGGTTCTCACTGAACTGGTGTTTAAGATGGCATTGCATCCACTGAATGCCTTTCCATTTATTTTACTTTTAAAGTAGTTCTGACTGCAGCCACTAGGGGCGCATGGAAGTCTGAGCACAGTAAAAGACCCTTTATGGGCTACACTGGCCTTTTCACAAGACTGAAGCAAACTTGCCTAACAGATCATGTTAAGAGCAAGAGTCCAGTAGCACCTTAAAGACTAACAAAATATGTGGTTGGGTATGAGCGTTCATGAAGAAGGCTGCTCACTTTTTCAGATACAGCTGGGAGTCCATCTGTCCTATATATTGGAAAGTGGAGTCATTTCAGATGCCGAATGACATTAGCAGGTGAATTACAATAGCAGGCATGATTGGATTTAGGTGAGATACGCGGAGGGGTAATAGGCGTGGAGAAATCAACATTGGTAATGAGACAGGAAACCTAGGTCTTGATTTAATCCAGGAGTTTGCATTGTCTTAAGTGTCGTTATAAATTGCAATTCAGCAGTCTCTTTCTAATCTCCCTTTGAAAGTCCTTTGTAAGAGAACTGCAACTTTTAGGTCAGCAACTGAATGCCCTGGAAACCAGACTGGGACCACATTCTCAAGCATGGGTTGTAGGTCATTGATAATGCATTGAACTGGCTTGAGTAGGTGACCACCAGTGGTGTTCTGTTGTTGCTCTCCTTGGGCGTGTCTTGTAGCAAGCTGTCTCTAAAGCAACATCCACAATGACAAACGACTTAACAGTAACATGGACTCTGGTAGCAGGGCCTACAACAAACCAAGGCGCCAGCTTTGCTCTCATATAGATCCTAGCAGGGCTTTCTTTGTAGGAAAAGTCTAGCAGGAACTCATTAGCATAATAGGCCACACCCAGCAGCAGAAACTCATTAGCATATTAGGCCACACCCCTGATAGTACAGCTCATTAGCATATTAGGCCACATCCCCACATTACCAGAAGTGTGGTCATCCAGCCACACCCACCTTTTGCTGCTTCTGTTTACCTTGTTTGTTGTCAAACCAGGGGTTTTTTTGTAGCAGGAACTCCTTTGCATGTTAGGCCACACACCCCTAATGTAGCCAATTCCAATGAGTTTCTGCTGTTGGGTGTGGCCTGTTATGCTAATGAGCTCCTGCTGGGCGTGGGCAACTCAGGAGCCAGCCGGAACTCCGTTCCTGTGCGTTCCTGCCCAAAAATAGCCCTGGATCCTAGCAAGAACAGTTGGTGAACTGTAGGAAAAATTAGATTTATGACAAATATACCGTCTGTCTGTCTCCCTCCCTCCCCCCAATGGGGACCTAAACCTGCATTGTTCTCCTGTCCTTCCTTTTATCCTCACAACATCCATGTCAGTTATGTCTGGCTGAGAGTGTGTCATCCGGCAGCAGCCTTCCATGGTGGATTGGGGATCTGAGTCTTAGAGACACCTGACAGGTTGCTTAAAAGTTCCCTTATTACCTGTTGCCTACGGTGAAGATAACCTGGTCCAAAGTGTTCCACATTTCGGCAACTTCCATCATAATTCTGAGGTTGGTGGCCCGTTTTCATACATGTAGCATTATTTTCAGATTAGTTGTGTCTGCCACAAATGGAGACCCTTAGCTTCCATTGCAAATAGCATTGGGGTCCCCTCCCCGTGCCTTTCGTTCTTTGACCCTGTAACTCCTATAACCATCCGGAAGCTGGTGGGCAATTTGGAGTCTCCTCGGTTTATTCTTTGATGAGTTCTGCCAGCTACAAATGGACAGATGGATAGGCTGACTCTTTTATCACTATAGATTCATGGTAACAGCAAGCCAAGTTATTTCACAAACACATATACAGACCTTTATTGGCATATGTCAGGTTACAGGAAGAAATATAAACAGATAAAGAGGTAACAAGGAGAAATGAGTCAATCATATGCATCTATGCATTGCACAATCGATCCTTAATTACCAAACTTAGAAATTTATTTTATTATTTATTTATTTTATGACATTTATACCCCGCCCTCCCCTGAAAAGGCAACCTTTTCAGCCATTTCAGGTGACAAATCATTCAGGAGATGGCGCACCTTCAGAGCATCTGGGCAGCCTATCATGTTAGATAAAGCCAAGTTATTTGCTTTGTTACAATATTTGGTTTGGATTGGGGGGTGGGGGGCGGCAGGTAGAATCTTTGCCAGGGGCCCATATGGTGGCTCTCGGCAGCCCCGCCTGTGCATATACGAAAGATCCACTGTATTTTACTCATGGCTAAATGTGCACAGGATGGCAGCCTTAGGAGCGGGTTGGTAAATGGCCTAGGCTTGCCTGGAAATAATGCTGCTGCTCAGCTTCCATTAAAGTTCTTTATTGTGCTTGGAGCTGCTGCAGTGAAATGACTCAGTCCCTGCCCAGAGGGTGATTATTCCTGAAACGGGTGGGGGTGGAGGCAATTTAAAGCCCTTTCCTAGACAGGATAAGGTGTCTTGAGGAGTCTGA